TTTCAAAAATAGTTAAATACTGAACAGAAATGTTTTTGTCAGGGCACCATAACCACTTCAATTTGTATACAAAATGACATAATTCCAAGATGATTACCTCTATACCAAATAGCTGTAAATTAACTGTAGGTCAGAGTGTGCAAACGGGCGATTTGCACTATAATCACTGCTTGGAGCTATAATATTTATGATGCTTAAAAATCTATGGGTGCCCTTCCGTCACTTTGTCATATGACTAGACAAATAACAGCTGCATGTTGCCCATACACTTAGCAACATAATCACTACACGCTTCCAGTGCCCATTAATGATGGTTTACAGTATAATTTCATAAGATTAAAACGATATTCTTACATAATTAAACGTTATTTACAAGGCAATGGATTTACTAAGCAAGACAATTGCAGACATAGGGATGTGGATTCTCGCACAATCCAGGCAGCTGTATAGAAGTACACATTTGATGTCCATATAAGATTGCTTGGAGGTTTAGAATTTCGTAATCCGGTATTAACCCGTCCCTAAGAGTTTATTTTAGTAAAGCTCAGTTACTGATATTGAACAATCAGTAGGGAGTTAAAGATCCTCCTGTCTGATTAGATTATATGACCTTTACTCATTCCCACATTAAGTCAATTTGTTGTGGTTCACAGTAATGTTAAATGTGTACAAAAAAACACCACAAAGGGGTTAATTCAATATAAATTAAAGATGAAACACAGTATTGGGCAATATAGCCTTATTAAGCAAAGTAGCCCAATAGACATAAAAATAGCCATTCCCCAGAATGACTAGTTAATGACTTGAACCCCAGTTCCGAAATACACACTAAGCAGTGAGTGATAGTGAGACGCTATTTGACCCGCACTCCTTACAAGGAGAATCCAGGCACTCACACGGTAGGTGAAATTTGTACCTTGGGTTGAAGTGATGCGGCTTGACTCTATTACTTTATTATTATTGTATTATGTTTAGTGACTTAAACCCCCCCCCCATTTGTCACCCCCTTCCCATTTATTTTTGCATATTTTAATGGATTATCAAATGCAAAAAAAAACCCCCAAAAAACATCACATCATCCTGGAGTGTCACTATATCTCTATATTTCTCTATCTTTGACACCATTTTTGGGCTATCCGTTTGACCGACAACCAATGTGCTCATTCAAACAATGCTGCAAAATTTGCACAAAGTTGACATTGCTAAGGAATGCAATTTCTCCAGTTGGATACAGTGTACAAGGGACTGGGGTCACAGACACCTATGGGAACCTCTGTGTCAAAGCGCTCTGTTTGACATAGAATTGGAGGATGTCATATGTAGCCTCGCGTCATGGTCACTACAACAGGTTCGTAATGGGTATGCTGCTTGGTATGTACTAAGGAATTCAGACTAGAATTAAGGCCAAATTCTGTCTTACCCTGCAGGACCCACAGTTGATTCCCAGCTGCACTTTGTGCACATTAAAGGGACACTATAGTCACCAGAACTACAACTCGGTGTGGTTGTTCTTTTGGTATCTATAGCATGTCTGTGCAGGCTCAGCACTGTAAATACTGCCTAATAATACCTCTAGTGGCAGTCACTCAGACGGCCACTAGAGGTGCTTCCAATTGCAGTGCAGCACTGGCGTTCAGCGTCTCCATGCTCTGCATACAGATGCCTTGATTCAGTGCATCTCTATAAAGAGGTGCTGATCAGTGGCGTCGCTAGGGGGGGGCCAGAGGGGGCCATGGCCCCCCCTACATGATGCTGTGCCCCCCCTTGGGCCCCCCCAAATGCTGGCAATTAGCTGGCCATCTGCTTCCCTCGGACTGTGACAGCCCGAGGGAATGCAGTGCTGAGGTGCTGGAGGCTGTCTGTGGCCGGAGGGAGCACTGATTGGCTCCCCGGCACAGGCTCCGCCCCCAAACGAAGCCCCGCCTCCCGCCGGTAAGCCCCGCCCCCGCCGTTATGCAGCAACCCATGCTGCTGCTGAAGATGGCTGCCTGACCCCCACAGGTGACAGGTATGCCCCCATACACACACACTGCCCCTATACAGCCCCCCATACACACACACTGCCCCCATACAGCCTCCCATACACACACACTGTCTCCCATACTGCCCCCATAGACACACATTGCCCCCCATACTGCCCCCCACACACACACTGCCCCCATACAGCCTCCCATACACACACACTGCCCCCATACAGCCTCCCATACACACACACTGCCCCCATACAGCCAGGGCCGGTGCAAGGATTTTTGCCGCCCTAGGCAAATAAAAATTTGCCGCCCCCCCCCAATGTCCTGCCCACCATGTAACATCACAATGCCCCGCCCATATGGGCCAACGCCAGTCTTCACAAAGTGTCTTATCTGAAAAGACAGTGTGTTTACATTAAAAAGTCTACAAGCACAGGATATAGACACCAGAACCACTACATTATGCTGTAGTTCTTCTGGTGACTATAGTATCCATTTAATGTGAGGTAAATTAGAGATTAGTGCCACTAATAATATATTGGATTGCCTACTTACCACCAGATGAGGACAAGAGGCTGATGATGGGCTCTGTCTGGCTCTACAGGTCTGGTGTAGAAGAGGCTCTCAGGAGACTGTTTTTAACAGTGCTCACAACAATTAACGAACAGGAAGCAGCTCCATGTTTTAGGGCCCCTTACACAGCTCAAGGTCTGGGCCCCCGGGGCTTGACCGTGAGTATGCCTACAATGCCCACCCATAAATCCAGCTACATGGCCCACCCATGAGTTCTCTCACAGGAAGTGGAGTGCATGTGTGTAAGGGATGTTTTATGTGTTTTTGTAGAGGATGCAATGTGTGTGTGTTCTTATAGAATGTAGTGTATAGGGATACCAATTTCTGTAAGGGATGTAGTGTGTTTATAGGGGATGCAGCGTGTGTTTGCGTGTAAGGAATGCATTGTATGTTTCTGGGTGTGTGTGTGTAAGGTGTGCAAGGTGTGTTTCTGTGTATTTAATTGAATGCAGTGTGTGTCTGTAAGGGGTGCATTGATTGTGTAAGAGATGCATTTTGTTTCTGTGTGTAAGAGAATGAGTGTTTGTGTGAACGTAAGGGATGCATTGTGTGTTTCGGGTGTGTCTGTGTGTGAGTAGGAATGCATTGTATGTTTCTGCGTGTGTGTGGGGGGGAATGCATTGTGTTTGTGTGTAGTGTAAAAGAGAGGGTTTGTGGGGTAGGATAGGGACTGAGAGGGGAACAGCTCTTTATTTTTTTTAAAAATTTTCATAGTGCTCTCCCCTCCTGTCAATTATTGATTTCCCCTTCCCTCCTGTCCCTCCATGTTCTACCCCTTCTGTCCCTTAGTGCTCTACCTTGGCTCCCTGTCCCTCTGCAGTCC